AGTCTTTAACATTTGCTCTGGTTTGTCATCTTTTACAGCAGCTCACAGAAAAACTTGGCCATCCGTCTATTATATTGACGCTGGCGACTGCGCAAATCATGTGAACCACATAAACAGGGAGAATCACGGCCTTATCTGATTTCTTTTGTATCTGTTTATTTCCTGAAGTTGCGTTTATGGAACCGCCAAACAATTGTGTGTTACTATCAAGAAAAACATCATTAGATTTTCAATCATTGACCTGCTAAATGTTGCGGATGTACGCTGTAGTAAATCATTTGCTCCAGTCGCAAAGCTATCGGCTAGCAAATGCACGTGAGCTGCTGAGTCATTCGCCGCGCGACGCGCCGCGGCGCTGCCCCGGACGATTCTGTTGCACGTCTCCCGTATCCGCCACGCATCCTACTCATTCACTCGCGTGGGGCTACTTTGGGCGCGGTCAGAGATGCGTAAAGGACTTTTATTTCGCCCGATGAAAATGTTTGATTATTGACTTTTCAAAGCGCAATCTGCCTCTCGCTAGTCGACAGCGTAGCAATTCCACCTGACTGTTGGTCAGACTTCCGTCTAGGCTCCCAACCATCACCCAGCCTCAACGAGAGTTTTTCGGGCGCTTATGATTTGTCCTTGACGCTTGACCCTATTACGTTATGCGGCGCCAAAATTCATCATGCGTTGCACTACTATTTATTTTCAGAAAAAAACGTATCCAGGAGAGGCAGGATCACTTAAGCTAGCAAAAGTCAACTCGCCAGCAGCTCCTGCGAGAAACATAAAATTGTCTTACGGCGCTGCACACAACATGCGCGGTTTTTAACGGTGTAAGTCGTTTCCCCGTAGACCACAAAGGCATTCCGAGCGGAAGTCAGGCGTTTCTGGCGCCTTTAACCCGCACTTTCGTCTGGTAAGCGTAGTACATTTTTTGCAACCACGAACCTGGCTATCGAATGCGCGGGGAAACTCCGCATTTCACTTGATCGTCAGATGGGTCTTTGATAGGATACCTACTATTGCGAAGTGCTTCATAACTTTACAACCAGGTTGAATCTTTATCAGTGAAAGTACCACAGATACAAAAAATACTGTGAACCAATATTTTCGACTGGCTAATCATTCAAAGCTATCGCCAGGCGAAACACTATAGAAGACCAAAGTCCCACTTTCGTGAGAAAGCACGAGGAAGCACGAAGAGCCAAGAAGGGTAGACATATTGAAAGTAAGCAGGAAAATGTAGCCGGGAATCAGAAACCGTGAACTTTGCAGTTCTCCTCCTTCACAATACCGACCTGTAGATACAAACATTACAATTACACAAAACATGTGAAATGACGCCAAAACTGAACTTACATTGACAAGAAAATCTTTGATCTGTTGCCTTTGGTCACCACTCAACTGCATTACCTCTCCATATTCAGGTCAGGTGGTTTGTTGTTTCAAACCGATGTTCCATTACAACTGTACTTCTAAAAAAAAAAGACTAGTGGACAAAAAGCATTATAACTCAGCGAACCAACTCTGAAGTTTTGCGTATATACGTTACGAATGGCAGCGAAGCACCACGATTCCTGGAAGGATGAGCGATTCGCAGGCGAAATCGGTGACAAAAGATTAGATAGGACCGATTAGTGTTGGGTTTATACTTTGCGTTTTGCGTCGCGCCAGCGCTTTCAGCGAAAGGTCCTAGGACGCAACCATACTCATCTACTCCCCTGGCGGCCATTCGACAGCGGTTCAGACTTTTGCGATGACGCGGAGGTCGTTCACGCCTGTGGTTGCACGCAGTCGCTGTAGTGCTAACAGAGCGGGAAAAACATTCATAGAAGGGTACCAATCCTGCGCAAGGTCAGCGAGTTATTTTTGAGAGCAAGGAGAATAGGAGAGAAAGAGAGAGAGAGAGAGAGAGAGAGAGAAAGAGAGAGAGAGAGAGAGAGCGTCCGCTTGCTCACACAGTCTGACACCTCCTATTTTTCTATACTCTACTAAAACACTAGCGGCGGGGCCATCGCCATCCGTCTATGGCTTGTTTCAACAGTATCGGAGCGCCATTGCGTAGCGCGACGTAAGGCGTGGAGTCTGAACGCTGCCGAATGGGCGACAGTAGTCAGACTGGTAACTGCACCTCTTCGTTTTCGGTGGATCTGCTCCTTCGTGAATGAGCGCTAGCTCCTTGTTCCTTTACCGCGAATCGCGGATTGCCTTCTGGTACGGATTCTTCTGATACGCTCTTGGCAGGAGCAATCGATTCCTATCCAGTCTTCTATACCCACCTATGGCCGCATTCCCATCTATAGCATTGGAGCGCTATCGCTATGACTCATGAGATCGCGAAGTCTGAACGCAGATTATGAACGCAACCTAATGAGTCCACGTGTTTCTTTTTGAAACATTTATTTTAACACAAACCACAACAAAGCACAAACATGCTTGAAGTAAACAAAAGCGAAGTGAGGGTTATCACAAAAGGATAAACATGGAAGTATTCAGTTTTTACACAGAACAATTATGTGATGGTCCTCTCTATCAGAGCAAAGGAAATCAGAATGAAAAACTCGGTCGCAGACTGAATATCGAAGACGAGTCATAGTGTCAATCAGGCGAAGAAACATCTTCTCATAGATAAGGATATGAGAGTACGACAGAATTTCATTTAAGTGACGATCCAGCCACATTTCTGGCTCTTCGTGGAACTGATCCACTTCATTTATGGCTTTCTCAATGCCAATGTTAGGTGTGCAGTCCAACATGCGAATCGAACGGATTTCGTTGTGGAAATAGCTCTGTCCAGGAATGGAATAGCAGGGCATTAGCGCTGCTACGGAAACATTCTCGCCTTTCCGGGCCATTGACAGCAAAGAATCAGCCGCATTATAAGGCCCCACTTGATGACGAAGGCCACAGTAGAGGGCTATGCCAGCGTTTACAATTACCATTATGGAAAGGAAGATGCGTCTGAATTTGGTACGCCTGGAGACGAAAAATGGCCCAGCGTAAAGGCAAAGAAGAGGAAGAACAGGGAGAAGAAATCTTTGCTCTTTATGAGGTAACACGGAATGAAAGGCAATGTAAAAAGCAGAAGCTATAAAGGGCAGTATTGTTGGTCGAAATGGGCTAAAAAGCCCAAGGATTACAGGAACCAACTGTAGGGTGAGAACTGACGTGAGCCCCTCCGTGAAGTACCAATACCATGGATGAACGCCAAAATGAGCACTTCCACCTTGTAATACATTGAAAAGAAGAAAGTTCCATAAAGTGGAGGTCGGCCGAGCATAACACAACGAATCAAAAACTGCTGACAGCAGCAGCAAAGGTACTGCAGTGGGGAGTACGGTAGCTAGAAGGAGACGAATGGGTTGGGGATGGCGCCAAAGGTGATAAATGCCAAAAACCGCCCAGATCAGAGCAGCGGTAGGGCGCATAATGATAGTAAGAACGCCTATGAATATATACGGCCATACCACACTATTGAGGCGTCTATTCTCAAAAGGGTACCACAACAGCCCAATCAGAGTAAGCGACGTTTCCAACGAATTAGAAAGGGTGCGCGGGGC